ATATATTAGTGCCACATCATCAAAAAAATTAAAAAACAATGCCACATGAAATTATTTAACTGCCACATCATACTTAACTGACGGAGGGACCAAAACTGTGCAATTTTTAGAGTTAAGGGATCAAAAAAATGCAAAAAATTGTTAAAGGACCAAAAATGTGCATTTTTTAAAGTTGAAGGACTAAATTTAGCATTTAACCTATTTTTAATAAAAAAAATAAGAAAACCTCTTCGACCTATCTTCTTCCTCCTATCTCTTTCTCTTTCTCTTTCTCTTTCTTCTTCCTCCTGTTGCTTCCTCCTCTGCTAACCGAACCCAGCAAAACTAGGATCCACCAAACCTTCTCCCCCCTCTTTCTCTTCTTCCCCTCTAGCTTTCTCAAAACAAAATCAAAACCTTAAAAATTCATACTACTTCAATCCAGCTTAATGATCATACACTCACAAGAGAAATAGCCAAATCAAAACATACAAACAAAATTTTGCAGCATTCATACTACTAAATTACCATCCCACAACCACAATATTTGAAACAAAAATCCATCAAACAAAAGGGTTCAATATATGCATTGAAATTGCTAGAGTTACTAAACAAAAGAAATCTATAAACATGGGTTTGAAAACCTAGAAATTCAGGTTCCATGAACTCATGTTGTTGGGTTCCATGGAACCCAAAACTGGGTTTGTTACTGGGTTCTACAGAACCCAGCAATCTGGGTTCCATTGAACCCAAATCTGGGTTCTGTGGAACCCAACGATATGGGTCAAACGAACCCAAATAGCTGGGTTTTGCAGAACCCGGATCTGGGTTCAACGGAACCCGGAACTGGGTTCAACGGAACCCAGAACTGGGTTCAAACAAACCCAGCGTTTTGGGCTCAAATGAACCCAGTAACAAGAGGAGGAAGAAAGAAAGAGGGTGAAGAAGGTTTGGTAGGTCACAACAGCAAGAGGAAGAAAGAGAAAGCAAAAGGGGGAAGAAGAAAAAGAGGGGGGAGGATCCTAACTTGGTAGGGTTCGGTCAGCAGAGGAGGTAACAAGAGGAGGAAGAAGAAAGAGAAAGAAAGAGGGGGAAGAAAACAGGTGGAGAGGTTTTTGTTATTTTTTTATAAAAAATATAAAAATTTATCTCCATGTCATCATTTTTTCTAGTTAGACAATCTATGTCATTATTTTTTTCCAGTTGGATTATCCATATCATAAAAAAAAATAAAAAAATGCCACATGGGCAGAGTTAATGTTCAAATAGACAAAAGAACTAACGTTATGCATTTCTTAGAGTTGAGGGATAAAAAAAGTGCAAAAAATTGTTGAGGGACCAAAAAAGTGCAACTCAATAAAGTTGAGCGATCAAATTTAGCATTTAACCTTTTTTTTTCTACTAATCTCTTGATATTTGATAATCACATCGAGTCCCGATTAATTCAGAATTGAGTGACGTCAGACCCCATGATATCCGATAATCACATCGAGTCTCGATTAATTCAGAATCAAGTCACATCAGATTAATTTTGGAGAAACTCTTTCAATGTCTATTTCTTCGTTTACAATAGTCAAACTTGAGATTTTACTTAAAAGGAATTAAATTCCTTCAAGTCAGGCCAACAGATTTGTTGATATTTCAAACATGAATTATTGATTTAGCATGGTAACAATAAGCCTCAACGTGCTTTCTCTTTTTCACGTTTGGTTTGTTCCCAACAAGTTGAAGGGGGCTTAATGACCATAAAAAATATAAGGAGCTTAATGACCTTATTAATGA